CAAGAGAGAATGCAGATTCTGTCGGAAAAATGGGGAAACACCAGAACATCTCACGACTGAATTGTTTTTTGGGGTTACGTATAATTATTTTGTTATCGTTGTAAAAAGTGCTACGATATTTTCCCTATGAAGGACATTTTCTGTGAAAAATTAAGGTAAACTAGGCACTCACAAGAATGTAATTGTGCTTGTTTTTCATTTTTGCAATATAATGAGGTCATAGCAAAAGTTAAGTGTGCAAGAGAAAAATATATTAACGAACCTACTTACTATGAATTTATTAAACGTTTTGATACGCTTGAAGTAGCGGGTTTGAAAAAACGAATAACTACCGGTTAAAGAAAATTTGGGCATACTTTATTTTGTCCATGATGAAGAACTTTATTTAAAAAACCTCGTATTAATAAGTAATTTTATGTTTATGAATGTTTACTCTTAATATTTAGAAGGTTACCTATGTCGTTATTTTCTATAATTTTTAATAAATATACTATATAAAATTGTAGTTTTAAGATTTTTGTGGATCAGCTTGAATATTGAGGTGATCCAATATTCTTAAAAGTTTTATTTGTTCTAACTTCCACCAACATACTTCCTCACCACACTCGCCCTGTACAATATCAAGTGTGTTATATTTTTGGAAAAGTAATTTTAAATTCTTTTCAATAAATTAAAAATATACAGGGTGTCCCATATAAAAATCAAATTTTCTGTTGATAATTCTTAAATTATTAATTTTTAAAAAAATTATACTTAAACCATTAAATTCTACGTAAAAAGGTGCTTTGGAAATGTTTTCATAAAAATACAAAATTTTCCATAGCAAAAAAGTTACAGCGATTTGTTAAAAATGCATATTTTTGAAAAACACCCCGTAACTTCGAAACGGTAACAGATATCGATATGCGATCTTCACCATCATGTTTTTGACAAAAATCTAATAACAATAAAAAAAAGTGTGTTCCATTTAAAAGCGTCGAATTTGACCCACCCTGTACAATAGAATAACTTTTACTGGCAACCTTTAGTAAATATTACTTTCACTAGTAAATGTTAGAAATTACTAGGAAAAGTCGACAAATCTCTTTAAAATACCCAGGGGCGCAACTAGACATATACTTTTGGGGGGCTCAAGTCTTTTGGGGGCTTAGGTCATTATAAGATAAGATTCATGTGAGGTTAAAACCAATTTTATCCGACACGCACAGGTCAACAGGGGAGGCTAAGCCCCCCCTGGTCTCCCCCCTAGTTACGCCTCTGAAAATACCACATTCACTGATCCAATGCGTAATTGCTAACATTTCCTAGTGAATGTTAACAATCACTGAATTTCCAACTTTCACTGTAACATATCCATTTTTTTAGTGTACATTTTATTTTTTTTAATTTGTATCAGCTCACCTTAATAACTGCAAATTTTCCTTTGATATTTAATATCTATTCCTTTTTATATAAACTTAGGTTTAGGAATTATTACTACATATAGGTATTTTTGTTTCTAAGAATTGTTATTATTTTTTTTTTATATCTGATACCCTATCTTGATGTTCTCGAAAATATATCACACCAGTGATAGATTATTGTATTTTCTTATTAAATAAATATACTTATTAATACACCTACTTCAATATTATTCTGCTTTTTTGATTAATATTACATAATATGAAATTGCAATCAAGTGCACTTCACTGTTACTTTAAATTAAATATTCATTTAAAAATAAATAAATAAATTTTAGTACGGCACTGTGTATATGAAATTACACTATTTTTATAGCAAGGTCTTCATTGAATTGTACCTAAAGTTCACGCCCTCTTATATCAAACTAAAAAAAGATCTCTAAAAAATGAATTATACAATTTTGCAATTTTTTAAATAATTTTTACACGTTTGAAATAAATGTCCATTAAATAATATTTAACACGACTTTTTTCTGTATTTGTTTTAGCAATTTGTTTCAAATATTAGTCCAATACTCTCTTAAGTTTGTTGTTAAACCTTATAGCAAATGATTTGAATTGAAATAACAAATACAGATTTACCAGAAAGTGTTAAAAATGTGTGTTAACCAAATCGAATTTGTTGTTACATCATTGACTGACCTGATAAAGTGTGCTATAGCCAGTTAAAGCCAGAATATATTAATGAAATAATCTTTCAGATAATTTTTAGGCGTTTACTCAAATTGTCTAGTTTGTTTAGTAAGAATTTTGACCACAGACTTATTTCATGTCGCGATCTATTTACTTTTGGGAAGTATCTACCTATTGAATTGATTTAAAAAAAATAATATAACACAATTTTATTCCATTTTTTCCACAACGACATTGGCGTAACTTATGTTATTTTTTTCGGGGGACCTATGTAATGTAAATTAAATAAATACAGTTCATGCCAAATAAACTTTTAATCGCGTGATTAAGCTTGACCGGCACAGCGTTGCCCAATTTTATATATTTTCTTTTAATCAAAAAAATAAATCTATACTGATATATAAAATCCTAAAGTGACTGACTCACTGATTAATCACGATCCTGCTCAAACCACTCAACGTAAGAAGCTCAATTTTGGCATACAGGTTGTTTCTAGGGTGTAGAGGTTCGATAAGAAGGGATTTTTCGGAATTCCAGTTCCAAGGGGGTGAAACCACCCCTCATATATTACAATATTTTTTATTTAAAAAACGGTCAAGTTTCCGAGAAAACGCTTAAACACGTATATTTTATTTTGTTTTTTACATATTTGAGATTTTTTAAAAATGTATACAGGGTGTTTCGAAAAATCTGGTCATTGATTAATCACTACTTAAAGCGCTCGACGTAAAAAGCTGATTTTTGGAAAACATTGTGCATACATTGTGTTTTCTAAAGCTTCAACTTATTATAACCTCACCTCAAACCTTTGATACTTGAAAGTTACATACATAGGTTACATAAACTACACCCTCTACATAAACTACATTAACTACATGTAATGTAGTTTATGTAGTTTTTAAAAGTAACATGTAGTTTTCGGAACCCTGCCTCCACCTAAAAGGGAATCCATCTACCAAAAGGAATATAAAGAATTGTAGCAGGAGATGTCGATGAAACTGTTTAATTGTATTTTGAGTATATATTTGTTACCTATAAAAAATAAGTTATATAATAATCATATACGATCTTTAATGCTAATACATTTTTTTAATAAATAACAACATAGCATTTTAGTGTACCTTCTTTTTCATCCAAAAAAGTATATCTATTGAGAATATATGTCTAAAATGCAGCTACAATAATTAAATAATAAAAAAAGGAATTATAAAAGAAAGTAAAGAGTACGACACTGTGTCAATTACAAACATATAACTTTCCTACTTTTTTACCGGTTTCCCTTTTTAGTCTAGAGAGAGAATTGTGACAAGTAATCAGGAAAATAAGGGTAGTGCCTAGATCGATGTAGAGAAGAATAAAAATAAAGAAATTTGTCTATAGAAAATACAATATTGAATTTAGCAAGGTACGTTTTATAGTTTAGTTTTGATATTATTGAATTCTTAGTTCAATATAAAAATTATAGCATTTTTAAATATATCTATCAGCGGGTAATAAATTTAAGTATACAGGGTCGGTAATAAAGTCGTGGCACATCAAAGTTTCATTATTTTAAATAGAATCACCTGTATATCTATACTAATATATAAAATCCTTAAGTGACTGACATAGGTACTGATTAATCACGATCCTGCTCAAACCACTCAACGTAAGATGCTCAATTTTGGCATACAGGTTGATTCTAGAGTGTAGAGGTTCGATAAGAAGGGATTTTTCGAAATTTCAGTTCCAAGAGGCTGAAACCACCCCTCAAATATTAAAATATTTTTTATTTAAAAAACGGTCAAGTTTCCGAAAAAACGCTTAAACACGTATATTTTATTTTGTTTTTTTAAATATTTTAAGATTTTTTAAAAATGTATACAGGGTGTTTCGAAAAGTCTGGTCATTGATTAATCACGATCCTGCTTAAAGCGCTTGACGTAAAAAGCTGATTTTTGGAAAACAGATTGACTTTAGGGTGTAGAGGTTCGATAAGAAGGGATTTTTCGAAACTCGAATTCTAAGGTTTGGTTTGGTAAACACGTATATTTTATTTTGTTGTTTTACATATTTTAAGATTTTTCTCAAATTCCAAGATCTCAAATTCCAAGAGGGTAAAAACGCCCCTCAAATATTACAATATTTGTTATTTCAAAAACCGTTAGTCTTTCGAGAAAACGCTTGGACAAGCATAATTTATTTGTTTTTTTTACATATTTTAAATTTTTTTAAAAATTCATACAGGGTGTTCAAAAAAGTTGGGTAATTTATTAACCACGATTCTGCTTGACGTAAAAAGCTTATTTCTGGCAAACGGATTTTTCGAAAGTTAAATTCCAACGAGATGAAACTAGGTACCTCTTAAATATTACCAAGTTATATAATAATATCGTCATATTATTTTTTCTCATGCTGACATAAATGTGAGAAAATTTTATCCAGTTTGTATGTTAATGGAAATTCTTGCTTTGCTTTATCATCACCATTAGAAATGATTAATTCGACGCGAACGAAGTCGCTGGTACCCGCTAGTGTTTAATATACATGTATCTAAAATACCTATATCATGAGATGAAAAATGTTTTTAGTGATCTTGTATTAATAGCCAATAATTTTTCGAGTACCCTATATACTGAAAAATAGTTTCCTTCGAGCAATTATAAATAAAAAAGATGATAATTAACCGGCTATTTAAAACAATTTAAGAAAAGATAAGAAAAAGAAAACAAAAAATTATCACATCTTCGGAATTCTTTAGCCATAATAACATTGACATTATTACTCCATGTATACAGTGTATACTTAATATATAAAAGAAAAAAATAATGTTTTTTAGTTATTTATCTGTCTATTCGGTCTGCTGGAGATATATAACTCTGAAATATTCCTACACATCAGTTTATTTTAATAATTACCGAAGATATTGATTAAAATAGCCGTTAAAATTCTTTGACTGTCAAGTTTCAACTGGTAAAATTCAGTTTGGACTTGGTTTCAGTTGCAAATAAGTAGATTTTTAAAAAAGGAAAATTTTCAAGTTTATATTTAAATAAATAGAAGATCTATTTGACTGTATTGCTGTTTAGTTATCTGTGATATTTGTGCGCTTGGTGTGAGGTCTTGTGAATAATATTTCGGAATTTTTTTAAAGCACTTGAAATTTTCATGTAAGTACTAAGTACCTTTATTTTTTTTATATATTTACTGTGATAGCCATTGTATTTTTCCCACTTTTTACAGACCTTGACTTTTTTAATTTTTTGAGCTAAATTTTATTCAAAATAATAAAAAATTGTGTGTTCGCTATGTACGCATATTTGAAGGAAAATATCTTACTAACAGTTATAAAATTGAAGGATTTGAAGGACATGTTTGAAAAAGTGTAATTTGAAATGCTGAAAAAGTAATAAATTAAGCTACAGGGTGTTAAAGTCTTCGATTTTTTCGATTTTTTATAATTTTCTTCCAACTAGTTATTCTTCATTCTTTATGTACATGAAGTTTTGATTTTGAAATGTTAAACGAAAATTTTGTATACCTCCAGACTTCCAGACTTGGTTAATCTCATTTTATACATACAGGGTGTTTCAAAAAGCATGTGTCATCTCTCGTGGAGACATTCCTCACGTAAAAATAAGATTTATTTTTCATATCAGCATAGGTCCGATTCTGCTTTATTTCGTAGCTACAGGGTGTTAAAATCTTAATATTTTTTCGATTTATTATAATTTTCTTCCAAGTACTTTTAGCATTTCGAATGAAATTTTGAGAGTAAAAGTTACTATAAATGCGACATATTTTAAAGCTAAAAAAGTGTCGACATATTCACCAAGGACGTGCATATGGGTTTTCACTGGAATATTTGTCTAAAAAAGTGTGTACGCCACTGATTTTATTTTCTCTTGTTAACGAAATAGTGTAAGCAGTTTAATGCCGATTAAAAGTTGTCTCTTGATATTTTATCGATAGCAGCCTCCTCGATAAGGGAAACGCAATTTTATTAATCACAATTAATATTAAAAAAATTGGCGCCGGGAGGCACGTATAGCCGCCCATACTAAAATATGTTAATATCTCGAAAACTGCGACTTTGACTGATTTTGATGTTATTACAAATTTTGTTGCAAATATTATTCCTAATCTTAATTTGAAAACCGCGTTTCGCTAGTTACTGTAATTTTGGAGTTACGATTTTTTAAATTTTTAACCCCCTCCTATACCCCCTACCAACCCCCACCCCCACCAAAAACTAATGGCCAGATTCTCGAATGTCACAGTATTTTTTGTGCCAAATTTGGTTAAAATCGGTTCAGCGGTTTTTGAGTTATCGTGTTCACTGAAACAATCGCGATGACCATCCGGCCTCTCAGCTCACCGAATATCCGATTAATTTAGACTATTCTGTATATTTGAGATGAATTTTTTCTCTGGAACTTGGCTAAAAAGTAAATTATGTCATTTCCTACTAAAAAAATAAGCCCAACGCACTAATACGTCATGTGCAACATGTCAGGTTTTTGATATATGGATTAGCAAATACGCAGAACACCTATAAAAATGATTGAGTATTTAAGGTGTGACTGTCAGGCGATATAAGACGTTGCATTTCATTCTTTTATGTTATTAGAAAATAAAAAATAGCTTTGCTAACTGAAGAAATATTTAAGAAATAATATATTAACTTTTTAAAATGGTATTTCTTTAAAAGTTCTATCTCTCAAATAAAAAACAATTGCTATTGCTATAGATATAATAATGTGTTTATGTAGTACAAATATATACCGAGTGTTTCATTACTGTCGAGAGATTAACTAAATCTCGAGACAGTAATGAAGAATTTCCTCCCACGATTTAATACTTCCCATTAAAAACTATAATGTACGTTCTAAAACTACTGAAACTATACTTATCGTATGTAGAATTTTATATTCTTTTTTAGAATATGTCTCTTTTGGAGTTGAAATGTTAGTAGTTTTAAGGGAAAACCCGGGAGAGACATCGGTTGCTCCCAAAATTATGCATTATTATATGGATGCCTGGCGCATTCGCCAAAATTTCATATTGTGATTTAATAAGAAAATTATATATTTGAAAATTATTTTATTTGAAGGAAATCAGTGTTTTTGTTGCAAGAAATGTTGTGTCTGAAGTGTATATATTATAACAAACATAAATACGTCATTTAAACACAAAAACGTGTTTTTTTAACTTTTTCTATTTTTTAAATTTATTTTTATTTTGTTATAGATTCGACAATGTTGCTGAACTTCCAGACAGTATCAATAGTATTAGCCACATTAATACCAACAGGTAAACCATATTTTTGCCAAGAAAATTTACAGAGTGTTTTTGATTTTGTGCGTTTCAGGTTTGAGCATAAAATGCTTTCAGTGCAGTTCAGCTGAAGATCCAAAATGTGCTGACATCCAAGCAAATGACACTACTAGTCCCTTCCTAAAAGAATGTAAAGGTGTTTATAATGGTCACACACCTTTTGTAGGAAATTAGTAACTTTAGGTAACTTGAAATCTACTTTTTCTTATCTTTAAACTGAAAATGTCTTATAATTTTTAAATTAAGTAGAATCTGGTACATGTTGCGTGTAAAAGCAAATCAATAGTATACCTGTGTATGGCTATAAATTTTGCGCTGGATATATACCATGATAGTAAGACCCATGATTACTTATGGAGCAGTTGCCTGGTACACAAATCTAGAGCAACGGACGGCAAGGCTAAACCTGTGCAAAGTCCAGAGACTAGCATGCGTTTGCATCATAGGAGCCATGAGAACCTGTCCAACAGCAGCAATGGAAGTCATTCTAGATCTAACACCACTGCACATTGTCATTGGTAGATATGCCAATGCGACAATGATTAGAATGGTCACTAACGGAATTAGTACTGGGAGAATTGTCAGATCAGGGGCTTGGAACACCCTCAAAAAGGAAATACTACTCCTGCAACTCCCAGTGGACGATATGCCAAGAACGTACAACTTTGACAAACATGTCAATGTAGTATTGAGCAATAAGAAGGATTGGAAGAGCGAAACGCTTGCCCAGCAGTTAAAAGACCATACCGACCATACCATAACTTGATATACTGATGCTTCCAAAACCAATACGGGAACAGGGATCGGAGTATTTGGGTCGAGAACTAAATATTCCGAACCAATGGGCACTTACCCTAGTATCCTACAGGCAGAAATCTACGCTATCAAAAGATGCGTACAACTTATCTTAGATAGGAACTATCGGAAACAAGAAATAGCCATCTTATCTGATAGTCAAGCAGCGTTAAAAGCGATCAACTCAGTCTCAATCAATTCGAAATTGCTCAAAGAATGCATAGAGAAGCTGAATAAATTAGGCAAAGAAAACAAAGTCCTCCTAACTGGGTGCCTGCTCACCAAGGGATAGAAGGCAATGAAAAAAGCAAATAATCTAGCTAGGAAAGGAGCGAACACTCCACTAACTGGACCAGAACCGTTCTGCTTTCCAAGTGGTAACCAACTCAAGGCGGAACTCAAGAACTTGGAAGATTCCATCCGCAACCTGGAATGGAAATCTTGCAATGGTCTAAGACACTCGAAGAAGTTTCTGAGGGCTTATGATCAAGAAAAATCACAGATCTTTCTGAGTAAGAACAATCTTCGGATTGTCACGGGGTTTTTAACAGGACACTGTCTCCTCAATGGACACCTCAGTAGATTGAAACTAAGAAGAAACGGCGAATGCAGATTCTGTGGGAAAGATGGGGAAACACCAGTACACCTCATCACTGAGTGCGCCGAGACGACAACCATTCGTGCCATGAATTTTGGTACCACTGATATTGGAGATGGAGAACTACCCTCTATAAAACCGTCCCAGATACTGGCTTTTTTTGTCAAAGCCCTGGGACTGTATGATGAGTTATGATTCAAGAAAGGGGGACACAATGGATCTGTAAGGTCGAAGTGATTAACCCCCCTCCCACTCATTCTAAATTCTAAAAAAATTCTAATGGCTATAAATTAAAAATAATGTATGATCGAAAAAAAACGACGTTTAGTTAGCTCGGAAATGACGATCAATGACATTCCCCATATAGTTTCTTCTTAGTCATCGCTGACGCTGTTTTTTTTACGATCATATTATATTTTTATCAACAAACTAACAAAATAGACCAAAAAAAAACACGTTAAAGTTTTTTAATAGACGTATCTGTTGAAATATATTGATATAATTTGTAAAAATAAATGATAGATTTTATAGTCATTCTTCTTGTTTTTTTTTGTAGTTCTGGAAGGTGAGAATAAAAGGATAACAAGAACCTGCGGATGGCTAACAGAGAAAGACGAAACTAGGGCTGATTCCTGCACGAAAAAAGATTCAGATTTTATTTTCAAGACTTCCTGTAACTGTTTTTCGGACAATTGTAACCACAGCACAAATTTAAACATTACATTCTCAGTATTTTTAATGTGTCTATTTATCAGTTTGTCAAAATACATTGGTTGTACTTAAGAAAATGTGAAAAATTTGTGTTTTCTTCTATGAATAAGAAGATTAAGGAAGAAGCAAATCAACAAACTTGAGTGGAACGCGATGGGAGATTAATATTGATTTATCAGTGTCATTCTAATTTTATTTAAAACTTGTAAAAATATAAAGTAGAGTAGACTCAGTTGTTAATAAATCTCCTTAGTTATTTAAGTTGTTTAAAAAATGTATTTCTAATAAAAATAGATAAGTTACAATAATTATTTAATAACAAAATATGATATGCTACTGAATCATCTAAGTCAGATTAACGTAACCTAATTATTTTTGGCAAGCTGTAAATAAAAGGAAAAATGCAGGAAATAATATGTAATGAGTTAATTCTAAGTGAATCTCATAATGGATTGGTTTACTACACGCCACGTAAAATAATTTTACTAAAATGATTACTGTATTCTTATCTACATTAGGCCGGGGCGAAAAAGGGCGAAAATTTTTTTTTCGAAATATGATATGTTATAGAAACAAAAAGTTGTGTGGTAGGTCAAAAATCTTTGTGATTTTTTTTGGGATTTTTAAAATGATTTTTAGCCGCGCCCCTGGGCATGAAAGGGGCATTTTTTATTTCAATATTTTTTGTCGTCATATCGAAAAAACGATTTTATTAATGATAAAAATCGATCTCATCAAACCAGATTTTGTTTTATTCAGTTTACTTAATTTTTAACCGCGCCCCGCTAAGGTAAAATATATCGTATTTATGACCGCACCAGACCAGCAGTGCGAGATGAATAATCACGTCCATCGCGCTACAAAAAAAATTATTTTGATAGAAGAAAAGACCAGACCATGATGCTTGTTAAAGGACGTTGTATTACTAAACAGCAGGAACATATATATATATCGATAATTGAAGAGCCAGGAAAGCACCTATTTTGGCCATACAAACATGAATACTTCCGGCACTGCTTTGAATATATCAAAAAGTATATCAGTATTTTAATAAAGCACGCTTTTAGATGTTTCAAAAAACTTTTAATAAGAGTAACTTTAACTCTACATTGGGCAAGATATGTAGATGACATTTTTTGTATTTGGTCAGGCACCGAGAGAAATTTAAACAGTTTTTTAACATTATTAAATTCAATTAACCCGAGAATACAATTTACTATTGAAAAAGGTATTAATACCATCAATTTTCTTGATGTTACAATTATAAAACAGTCTAATAGATTACAATTTGATATTTACAGAAAACCCACTACCACAGACACTGTAATACATAGTCAATCACACCAATCCTGGCAAATCAAAATGTCACCCTTTCATAGTTTAATTCATAGATTAGTAATGTTTCCACTGAGCCCAGAGAATTTTAAAAAAGAGTTAAATATTATTAAACAGATCGCCATCAACAATGGATATAAGTGTTCCCTTATTGATAATATGCTAAAGAAAAAACAAAACAAAATATTAATGAAAAATTTTTAATCCGCTAATTCTAAAGACAATAACAATTATCAACCTTTAAACTACATTCCTAATTTAACTAACAAAATATCAAATAATCTCAATAAAATAGGATGTAAAACTATTAACGTAAATAAAAGAAATTTAGGTCAAATTTTATTAAATAATAAAGACAAAACTAATGTCAAAAATAAGTCGGGTGTATATAGGGTGGATTGCAATACTGTGATGCCGTGTACATAGGCCAAACAGGTAGAAATTTAGATATAAGGATTAAAGAACATGTAAAGTATATTAATAATCTCCAGCATAGTTCTGGTCTTGCAACTCATTGTATAGTAAATAATCACAAAATTAATGAAAACTCAATTAAGTTACTACACAGAGAAACAAAAGGTAGACGTTTAAATTACATTGAACAGTTAGAAATACTAAAATCTGTTAAACGAAAATAATGTTAACGACCAACAAGGATTTCTAAACACATTTTTATTACCCCTATTGTAAACTCTCTGAACCCACCCCCATAGCAAATATATATATAGTTACAGTGTAGTTAGACGATTAGTTCTTAAAAAACTCTTGAAAAAGGCTTAACAAGCCGAAACATATATGTAGAGTTAAAGTTACTCTTATTAAAAGTTTTTTGAAACATCTAAAAGCGTGCTTTATTAAAATACTAATATTTCAACGATGTTTCACAAGGAACCAACCACAGCTTCAGTACAATTTATTAAAAAGTATATCACTCATTGAAGCTAAATATATTGACCTGAAATGTCTAACAGTTGTTGGATGTGGTGGTACGAACGTGAATACTGATTGGAAGAGTGGTATTATACAGCTGCTGGAAATTCATATTAAAACACCACTGCAATGATTGATTTGCTTGCTTCACATCAACGAACTACCGCTGTGCCATCTCCTTGCAGACCTAGACGGACACACTAAAGGACCTTATTCTTACTCTGGGCCTATTGGATCTAAGCTGGCAGCATGATAATCGAGACCAGTTGTAAATTTTCAGAAAATAGACACAACTTTAGGTCATGTCGATGAAAAAGATCTTAGCACAGACCAGTAATATCTATACCGTATATGTGTTGCTGTCCGAGATGGAATCTGGCTGACAGTTTATCTGAGAAAAACCAAAAAAGCAATTTAAGTTTTAATCAAATCCACACACTTTTAAAAGTATGACAAGATAAAAATCCCAAAAAAAATTTTTCGCCCCGGCCTAATCTACATACACTAAAAAATAAAGTAAAAATAAAATATCCATTTTTAAAGTTTAATTTTACTTATACCCGGTGCGTCTCAAAAGTGGCTCACCCCTATAACTTTTTTATTTTTTCAGTTGAAAAAACGATATTTGGTGTGTTAGTATATGACATAAATTAGGATTGATTGACGTGTTCAATTGTTTTCGGTCACTCCCTGTTTCACCGGAAATTACTACAACTTTTCATTTTTAAATGGGACCCTCGGTATATTTCTACTTGATTTGATTGAAAATGACACTCATAGAATATAATGACATATCATATGTCAACTTTTGACATTGACATGGTTAATTTGAAATTATAACATGCGGTTCATAACGAAAATTTGACTCGACATACCAAGTGTGTGGTATCAAATTATTCGTAAAAAAATGCCTTTTCCAAATATGCTAGTGAGCCACCCTCGTTCCATCTGAAAAAATTGAGATATGATTAAAATGACGATTTGGGCATATTTTAGCGGGAGCAAGACACTAAAAACACTAGACGATCAAATCTATTTTTCCAAGGCTTCTTTATTACAAATTAATGTTTCTAACTTGGCACTCTAGATTGAAATTTAAATTACAATTTTTTACTAAGCGAGAATGTTAAAAGTTGACATATGGATATGTCATTCTATTCAGAATGTCATTTTCTATCAAATAAAGTAAAAAGATACCGAGGGTGCCATTTAAAAATCAAAAGTTGTAGTCAATTCCGGTGAAACAGGAAGTGATCAAAAACAATTGAACACGTTAATCAATCCTAATTTATGTCTTATACTAACATACCAAAACACTGAGAGATGGTGTAGGACTGTCGGGCTGAGTATCAACTCAGACAAAACCGCGATAGTGCCATTCACCAGAAGGCGAAGTCTGAAAAACTTGAAAAGAATCCAACTAGATGGACAGGAAATACTGCCAACACAGGAAGTTAAATACCTGGGAATAATCCTGGACAGTAAACTCCTGTGGAACAGGCATATTAAGAACACTACCTGCAAAGCCATAAAGGCTCTCTTGATATGCAGAAGACTGGCGGAAATAAGATGGGGCTGTGCTCCTAACATTTTGCGCTGGATGTATACAATGATAGTAAGACCCATATGATTACTTATGGAGCAATGTTGCCTGGTACACAAAACTAAAGCAATCGGACGGCAAGGCTAAACCTAGGCAAAGTCCAGACGAGATACTAGCATGTGTTTGCATCACAGGATCCATGAGAACCTGTCCAACAGCAGCAATGAGGTCATTCTGTGATCTATATCCAAGCACATTGTCATTGGTAAGAGTGGTATGCCAAATTGGCGACAATGATAGAATGTTCAACTAACATGGAATTATACGGAGAATTGTCTGATTCAGGGGCTTGGAACACCCTCAGAAAAGGAAATTACCAGACTCCTGCAACCTCCCAGTGACGATATGCCAAAGAAACGTACAACTTTGACAAACATGTCAAGGTAGTATTTGAGCAAAAAGAAGGATTGGAAGAGCGAAACGCTTGGCCAGCAGTTAAAAGACCGATTACATAACTTGGTATGAAAGCCTGATGCTTCCAAAACCAATACGGGAACAAGGATCGGAGTGTTTGGGCCGAGAGCTAATTAATCCGAACCAATGGGCACTTTACCCTAGTATCCTACAGGTAGAAAGAAATATACAACTATCGAAAGATGCGTATAACAACTTATCTTAGATAGGATACTATCGAAACAAAAATAGCCATCTTATCAAGTCAAGCAGCGTTAAATGCGATCAACTCAGTATCAACCATGTTTCGAAATTGTGTCAAAGAATGATCATAGAGAAGCTGAATAAATAAGGCAAAGAAAACAAAGCCTCCTACACTGGGTGCCAGCTCTCACCAAGGGATACAAGGCAATGAAAAAGACAAATAAATCTACGCTAGGAAAGGAGCGAACCTCCACTAACTGGACCAGAAAACCGTTCTGCGTTCCAAGTGGTAACCAACTCAAGCCGGAACTCAAGAACTGTAAGATTGCCATCCGACGAACCTTGGGGAACATGGAAATCTTGCAAATTGGTCTGAAGACACTCGAAAAGTTCTGAGGGCTATGAATCAAGAAAAATCACAGATCTTCCTGTCTGAGTAAGAACAATCTTTCGGATTATCGCGGGTTTTTTAACAGGACACTGTCCTCCTCAATGATAAACACCTCAGTAGATTTGAAACTAAGAAGAAACGGGCGAAATGCAGATTCTGTGGGGAAGATGGGGAAACACCAGTACACCTATCACTGAGTGCGCCGAGACGACAACCAAATTCGTGTCATGAAATTTGGTAACGACTAATATTGAAGATGGAGAACTACCCCCTATAAAACCGTCCCCAGATAACTGGCTTTTGTCAAAGCCCGGAGACTGTATGAATGATTATGATTCAAGAAAGGGGGACCCAATGGATCTGTAAGGTCGAAGTGATTAACCCCCCTCCACTCATTCTAAAAAA